TAAACGAGCCGCGTGTGATAGGTGCATTTTACGAACATAGGGGAGCAAATCATGGCGTGGCAGGCGTTATTTGGGGTTGCGCCCCTACCCCCATAGTTTGGCCCCGGCACAACAGCCTAACTCGTTTTTGAGGGCCCATAAGCCGGATCGCGCGCATCTACCTCAGGTAGCGCGCCACGATCAGAATCCAAGTAATGCCTTAAAGTGATCAACAGTCGTCTTGCCGTCGGAGAATCAGGGCAGACCCAAAAGTGCATCTTGTGATTTACACCGTTTATTTCTTGCTAATAAGAGCCTGTGAGACACTGCGTAGTACATGAATGCCAGTGAAAGTAACGACGACCACTGTTTGTTCGTTCGCTCACGAGCTTTTGCCTCGTAAAGACGACTGGTCGTTTTTTCTTCGGGTTTTAACTTGGTGCAGGCAATGGCGGCGCGCGCCATCAAGGTCATCTCGCGAGGTTCCAATTGGTTGCAGTCTTACCGCTGAATGGTTGGCTTCAAGGTCATTTAAAAATTCAAGTCAGACTGTTGACCGAGGCATTTTCTAATTCACGATGCCAGTTTTCAACGAAATCTTGCCTTTTTACCTCTCTGCGCGCTGGCATTTGCTTCGACTAACACCCACCATGTTTTTGGTTTTAGTCACGTGAATGAGGCTATTACAGCCTGGATCGCTGAGCGTGCCCAGTCCTATCAAGATTCTAACAAGGTGGCCCTTTTCCTTCGCCCCTTCTTCTTTTGGATAGACAAGAAGTTGTTGGAGCTGTTTAATGAGGGTTTTCAAAAGGTACACAGTCCTCATTCCACATTAGATACCATTTTGACAACAATTCTGAAGCTTAGGGCGATGATTCGCAAGGTTGTGCGATTACGCGGATTGATTCAGCCTGATACTAATTGTTTTCTTATAGAATGGTAGGAAATGAGTGTAAAAACATGTCGATTTCCACTCTGATCTTTAGGGATAGGGCAGTAAATGTCCAGATGTGCCGGAGTCACTCGCCAACTTTAGCTTCCTTAGTTCCACAGAGCCCTGCAAGCTAGCCAGAACCGACATCTTGAAAAACGATCATCTAGAATCCACCAGAATGAATACCAGGCTGTCTTAATTATTAAGTTGAGTTTGGCAGATTTGCTTGATTTGAGTTGACCCAAGTGTGAAAAACTCTAGGCGTTTGGCCAAACGCCTAGAGTTTTTCACACTTGGGTCAACTCAAAAACGTAATTGTATTTTAGGCTGGGGACACAAATCACACGCTTCGGACAGTCTCTGAAGTCAGATGTGCACGTATGCTATATGGGTGTGGAAGGGGAGTAGAAATCCTAAAAAAAATAAGGGTTTAGTGATCTTTCAGACGGATTTCATAGTTCTATTTAAAAGTAGTTGTAGTCAGTACTTTACGTGCCCTTCACTCCCGCTGTCGGTCACTTAGGTTTGTCTTCCCATTGCCAGTAGCCTGTCAGAATCTGGTTTTCACCGTTCTTGCTTAGGTACCTATCTCGGTAGGACTGTCTTTAGAGGTTCTATTTGTCTTTGACTTATAACAATTTCCTACTTTTACATCTTCAGTAGCCCGACTTCCCCTTTTTTCATTGAATTCCGCCAATACAAGGTAAAATTTCCTTATTTCGTTAAATTCCACCAATATAAGGTCGAATTTCCCTTTTTCGTTAATTTCCGCCGATATAAGGTCGAATTTCCCCTTTTCGTTAATTTCGGCCAATATAAGGTCGAATTTCCATCAATTGGCATCAGTTGCCTGAGTAACAGGAGTTTATGTTGGTGGAATTGGTTCTATTTAGCTCATTACAACAACAAAATCTTGTTTTACTTTACTATTCTTTGATTACTTTCAACGCAATTAAATATTCATTTACACTCGTTAACCAAAAATTTAATGTTTAAAAACTAATTCCGTGAGACAATTGGATGGGCGGAATAAATATTTAGGCGACCCCACAAGACAGTTTTGCCCTTAGCTCCACTTCTCCTGACCTACATGTGATTCCCTAAGCATTCCTTTCAGGGCAGCTTGCCTCGCGTGCAATATACCATCCCTCCGTCAAGTGAAATAACCAGATTAACGGACTCCTTATGCATATGAGGCGACTTGACATCTGACTATACACATAACCATTCTATCACTTTTTTCTCTCAACAGTTTAGTCAGGCGCTGACGGAAGACGTAAACTCTGACTCAGATGCAGAGGAAGAGCAGGAGGAGGAGGAGACAGGCGCCGAGCCCATACCCGAACGATTTTCCGCCTCTTCTTCGGCGTCCACGTCATCCGAAGACTCCGCAGACAGTGCGGTTGACGATGACCTCATGTTTGCTTCCCGGATTCATCCCGAGTCTCGCACCAATGCTCCCCTCCTCCCGCCCCAGAGCAGCAGC